TATATGCCTCGATTGAAGTTCATCGTGTCATCCTCCCAATTACTTAAGAGTCTCGAAGTTCGACTATAGTATAATTAGTATATCGAACATATTATAAAACTTGCTTACATTATAAGGTTATAAATTGTGAACATATATAATTGGCGTGGTAGGTGATTGGGATGGATAGATAAATGTGTGTCTTCTGAAACTAAGAAAAACAAAAACAAAAATATTTAGGCCCTGTTCTCTTTACCGTTTTCGGGTCGTTTTCTGTTTTCGATTTTTCAAAACGGTGAAAACGTGTTCTTTTTCCCGTTTTCGAAAACGAAAAAAAATTTGTGAAGAAAACACAAAACGACTTTTTTGTCGTTTTGGGCGTTTTCAGTGTAAAACTTGAAAAAATTGAAAACGGGGGAAACACTAATTTTTTTTTTTTTTTTCTCAATTGAAGTTCATCGTGTCATCCTCCCAATTACTTAAGAGTCTCGAAGTTCGACTATAGTATAATTAGTGTATCGAACATATTATAAAACTTGCTTACATTATAAGGTTATAAATTGTGAACATATATAATTGGCGTGGTAGGTGATTGGGATGGATAGATAAATGTGTGTCTTCTGAAACTAAGAAAAACAAAAATTAATTTTTTTTTTTTGGTGTTTTGAGGTGGTGTTGTGGTGATTCTCAAGATTTAAAAAAAAAATTATTTTTTTTTGTTTTGAGAAACTAACAAAAAGAACGCATTTTCAACAATTTCAAAATAAACACTCAAAATACAAAACTCAAAATGAATTCAAAACTCAAAACACAAAACTGAAACACAAATAGAACACCCCCATAGTTTCTTGAAAATTCTGATAATTTATTCCTGTGGCCCCTCCATGCAGTACCATTCTTAAATCAATCCTGCCTTTCTCTAACTAGCTTGTGGAATGTTGAACAAACACTTTTTTAAGGGATCAGTGAATAAATCCTTTAAAGGATAATTCATATTAATAAAAACAAATTATTTTTGATAATTGTAACAAGAAAAGCAACAAATTTAAGTTCTATTCTTGATCAATTTTAAAGAGATTAAAGAGTCTTTATAAATATATTTTCTTGGAGAAAGGTTTAAGAAGAAACAAAAAAAATAAAAGATAAAGAAGGCAATGAAATGGAATATGAATGAGAAATGAAGACAAAAAAAGTAAAGATGGACAAAGAGTCTTTAAATACATATTGGATTTTGGAATAAAGGAAGGGATAATGAAGAATAAAGTAACAATTGGATAACTTAATGAAGAGAATTCTCTTGTTTTTACTTATTTAACTTTCTATAAAGAATATCCAAGCACTTGATACATTTCTTTTCAATTAAAGAATACATATAGCATCTTCATTTGTTTTATCTACAATTTCGTAATGTATTTTCATTTCCTTATTACTTCGTTAGTATTGATTAATCGAGATTTTTTGATAAAAAAAATATATTTAATTGATCGGAAAGAACTTTAACAGATATAAAATATATTGTACTAATATTATACCCATTAATTTCACTTGCACCCTTAATTACTTAGCTCAACTAAGAAAATCAGCTCGAAATAATTTGGTAATATTGACACCAAATTAAAAACTAAGAGCATCTCCAAGAGACCCTTAAACACAAAATATGTACAGAAGAAGGGGTTACAGAACCCATCCAGACAAGAGACATAGCAGGGGGTGGGGTTTTTTGCACTATTTTATTCACATGGGATCCACCTATTTGTGAGATTTCTATATATTTCTGTGAGATCCATTTCTGTACAATGAATTTTTTGAAAATTTATTTTGAACGCATATTTTTTATTTTATCTTTCCTACTAGCGCGTCAAGTCTAAACAAGATCTCATTAAGAGTAGATAAGTCTGGAAAATTCTTGAGGACGTAGAAAAGGACTGCAACAAAGTCTTTCACGCTCACTTATACTCCAATCAATAAAATAAAATTAATAATAAATAATAAATACTGGCTTTGAATAGTATAGATCTCAATTAATGAGTCTCCCACCCTAGTTATTATGTTGTTAATGCAAAATACCCAAATTTACACTAATTATCAACTTTTTGGTAGGTATATTAATTTACATTAATTATCAACGATGCTTGTAAATGAGCTTTACCAGTCTTTGATTAAAGCAGATAAGAGTAATTATTATATACAAAATACTTGGTCTTAAATGCTTTGATTCACACTATCTTATATAACTAACAAGCAACTATTATTACTAGCAAGAAAGGCGATAAATGGTATAAGAATTTGCTCGACTCAACTTGAGAATTCGCCCTATGAAACTATTACTAACCATTTATCTACTAAATTCATACTTTCGTATATAAATTGTTGAGGCTTCTATGTAGAAAATCATTTAGCTTGAAAGAAAACAAAAAATACTATGAATAAGGATTTATGAATGATCCTACCATTCATGTGATGAAATGAAATCCCAGAAAACTTGAATTCTAAGAGGACATCATTGTCACATGGAGAGTATTCTTTTCAATAATAAAAACACACAATTTAAATAAAAAAATAAAATCGTATGTGAATGCCTACACGAAAATATAGAAGTACTTTTGGTGAAAAATTATGATAAGTCACCTCCCCATAGGTAAGTCTGTCACCACAAGAAATAACCCACTTGCATTTTTCCTATTTTCAGCTAAAAAACTCAATTATCACTACCACCTTCTGCCCTTGATTTACACCATCTAGCCAGCATCATTATTTTTCCTTCAAACAATATACATACACACAGACATACATATATGTCCCTTTCACTGAACTGTGGGGAGCCCCGAATGGGATATCGGACGTAGAGTCGTTACTCGTTGTGACGATTTTCTCGAGTTCAAGAATCGAGATCTCTTGATCCTAAAGATTTGGACCGGACCGGCTCCACATTAGGGTGATCGTGGACAAATTTAAGAATTATAATTGATATAATTAAATATTAAATTTTGAGGTTTTTACATGTGAAAATTTTTAAGTAGAATGAATAATCACATGAGATGCATGGGTCAAAGTTAGTATTTATGGAGGTTGTGTTGCATTAATCATCACTGTAAATATATCACGAGTGACATAATGAGACACAGAAAGCCTTGCATAAATATGATTTGCACGTCAATCATGAATATCAGTTTTTTTGTTAATTTTCTCTCTAAAGAACAAAACAGTTCATGATAATGCTTAATTATGACATGATTGAACACGACAATTGACTATAAATGTATCAGATAACGATGAATTGTAGTCGATTCTTGAACAATGCTACATGTTCAATGCCCGCAAACTCAAAAATGGGATTGGGAGTGTTATGAGGGCGGCCAAACTCATAGCGACTGACCACAGGTGAAATGTCGTTGGGCCGCCAAACTCATAGTGTGACCTCGGGTGAACCACGACGGTTCGGTAAATGAATCCATAGGCCCTTTTGGCACCCTAAATATGATCTTAATTTGCGTTAACCTAAAGAAATGTGGAGTAAAGCAAAAGATAAAACTCTCCAATAGCTCTTGCCTGTCCAAATATAGTAACAAATTACGTATTTGAACTAAGCAAAGTTCAAAACTTGAGTTCTTACAACACTTTAGGAATGTTATATTTGGCTAAATTAATTTCAAGATAATTTGTTTTAAGCTCTCTCTCTCTCTCTCTCTCTCACACACACACACAGATAGAAAGAGTTCTTCCTTTGTCTCTCTAACACTGACACACACACTCTGCTCTCTCTATATGGCGTAAACTTGATGCCTGGTAGTAGTGCAAGCAAAGCAAAGCAAACACCCCACTTTATTTTTTATTTTTTTTCAGTCTAAAACTCGCTCACTGATTCCTCTCTGTCTGTAAAAAATCTGCTTTTTTCACTCACTCTCTCTCTCCTCTCAACCCTTTTTATGCTCCTCACTACTGCTATAACCTCATGTTTTGTGCTTCATTCACTTCCCAAACATTCTGCAAAACTCTCTCTCTCTCTCTCTTTGCTCCTCCCTTCTTCATATCCTCCACTAGTTAAAATTTTTTAATTCCAAAAAATCCTCTATTTTCTTAGCTCTGATAACACCATTTCTCTTAGTATTTTTGTCTTTTGCCGTTGAAGGTGTGTTTCTTTAACTTTAACATTTCCTTATTCTTTGCTCTGTGTATTACAATTTATATATATCCTTCTAACTTTTGAACATCATTTTCTTCTTCAGGTATACTGTAGCTAGCGAGTGTTGACTCTTTTCTCTCAATTAAGTTCATTTCCTTCTCAAGAAATGCAGATAGTGAAGTATTTGAAGATAGAGGTTCTCATTATGGCCAGCTTCTCAATAGTGTTTGCTCCAAAAAGAGAGGACAATTATTAAGCAAAAAAAAAAAACATCTTAGGAATTCTTTAGTCAGCAGCCAAATACTTTAATTTAATCATTTAGTTCTTCTAAATCTCTTGTGACTCGTTCCATCTCTTTTGGTCTCCAAAAAAAGAAAAACACTGTATATACAAAAAGGCATAGAGATAGAGAGACAAGGGGGGCTAGAAATGGAAATTCCAAGTCAAGAAGTGGAGATTCCAATTCCAATCCCAATTAACAGCACATATGGTGGGGGACATGGTCATGGCCATGGACATGGGCACATGATCCATCATGACTCTGCAGCGCACAACCATATTATACCTGCAGCTCCAGCATCAACACAAATGCCCTCAAATGGCCCCATATCCTCCACACTTGAGGACCATGTCCCCTATAAGAAAATGGTGAGGTATAGGGAGTGCCTTAAGAACCATGCAGCTTCAATGGGTAGTAATGCCACTGATGGCTGCGGAGAATTCATGCCCAGCGGAGAAGAAGGCACTTTAGAAGCCTTAACTTGCTCAGCCTGCAACTGCCATAGAAACTTCCATAGAAAAGAAGTTGAAGGAGAGCCATCTCCTTGTGATTTCTACCAAAATCCAAGAATGGGAAGGAAATATTTTTTAGGACACCATAAAGGGATTTTGGGGCCTGATGCATTGGGTTATCATACTGGGACACTGATTTCCTCTAGAGCAGTGGCACCACATCAGATGATAATGTCCTACAACATGGGATCACTGCCCTCAGAGTCAGATGAGCAGGAGGAGGGTGGAGGAGGTGGTGGTGGGGTGGTGACCCGGCCAACTCAGCTGGTGAAGAAGAGGTTCAGAACAAAGTTCACTCAAGAACAAAAGGAGAAAATGCTAAACTTTGCTGAGAAAGTTGGATGGAAATTACAAAAACAAGAAGAAGCTGTGGTGCAACAATTCTGTCAAGAAGTCGGGGTCAAAAGAAGAGTGCTAAAAGTTTGGATGCACAACAACAAGCACAATCTTGCCAAGAAGAACCTACAATCCAACGCTCAGAGCCCAGTTTAAGAACAAGTTCAAAGAGATTGTTTTCCAAGTTCTTGTTAAATAAAAGTACTGATAATTGTCATCTTATCTTCATTTATTTGGGTAGGACTAGTTTCATATATATCTAATAATAACAGTGTTTATGTAATGTAGTTTAGGAAACTGGCTGGCTTTGATTATGAGTGATTTCAGTGTATAATGAAGTTTTTACACAGCTTCTCTTCGAGCATCTGTTGTGCATGAACTGAACTCTTTATGTAGAAACGGATTCCTTTTTAAGTACTTCGGATTTGCTTCCTCACTGTTTTTCCCATTTCCAACTTCATATTTTTGCATTGATCCCTTGTTTGATACCTGTTATTTCCAAAATACAATTTTTCTCCATCTTCTTTTTCAACCATATGTCATTTAATAAAATAATATTACACGTAAATTCAAAATATTTTATTTTTTTAACCACACATTCTCGATCAATCTGTCATTTCAAAATGCATTCTTAGATTCTAATGGAGGCTCAAACAGGCTCCGAATAAAATTTTAAAAAAAGGTGGAACATTTTGACAGTTGTAATGAAATTGATTTATAGTCTTCTTTGACTCGGAGTGAAAAATATAAGATGTTTTCTTTTTCTTTCCCTTTCCTATACAAGTGTAAAATCTATTCCTACACCGCGTGGCCTTGTCTCAGCTTTTATGTTTAATCGAAACCCTTGTGTCTACTTCATTTCATCCATAAATTTTCTCTAACAAAAAGTAAGGTAAGGCAACGCAAGTAGTGTATCTATATCCATGTGTGTGTGTGTGTCCCTTCTTAATTATCACTTGCATGAAGCTACTGAGGTTTTTCTGGGATACTAAATCTTGTTTTTAAGACTAAGTTTCAATATTGTTCGGTTTAAGATTTTCTCCATAGAATGAATGCATATCATTTTTCAATAATGGCCCATCAATCTCTCCGTCGAATTTGTATTAAAGGACAAGTAGGGAAATTTTCAATAAACAAATGAAAATGGAAAGATGTCAAATCCAATCCCCGCAAAATTATTATGATGAATAATGTTATTTGCAATCACTCACTATTACAGTCGTTTTACGTGGCTCGCATGTGACGTTTAGTAATTTGATATATATGACAAAAAAAAACTATCACATTAATAAATCAACTCACAAACCGTCATGCAAGATGTCACATACATATAGCGACTACTGCAGTTAGCAACTATGAATAGCATTGCTTTATTATGATACTAGATTTTTAAAAACTGCCCAGGTAGATTTTCAAAAACTGCCCAGGCAATAATTTCCACTTATTATTATTATTAGATAATGTGTCTACACTCCATTTTACGAGCATCATAACAAGAAATAATATGTTCAATTAAAGAATTGTTGGCATATATTACTTTGAATCAGTGAAACCTTAGTAGGAAAAAATTAATTGAAATCAATTTACAATCGCACAAATGAATAATAAGTCACAAACACACACTAACTATTGTTTGCAACGAACATCATCAAATCTTCCATTGTACCTATGCATTAAAATTCAACCCATCTCATTACAATTACAATTATTATGTGTTCTTCAAGTGCATCACATCACTCACTATTGTTTGCTCCTATGCCTAAAATCACTCAACCTCACAATCTATTAATTTCTATTTTAACTTGAGTCATCACCTCCCTTAAATTTTGTCTCTCCGTGTTAGTGTTGAGTCGAGCAAAATACTTCTTTACAATGACACCATAGACCAGGACATAACGTCTAAAATTGATAGCAGCTCGTGCATGTAATACCTAGCGTTGGCACGAGTTCTCCAAAACTTGACCATCCAAATTCTGCTTCCTTTCCCCCCTCCATTTATGAGACCTAATAAATTTTTAACTATGTGCAAACATCTTTAATGGCCATATCTACCCACACAACAAGAATCTTATTGTTTTTCATTGCTTTTTTTTTTTTCTTTTTCTTTTTTCAGTATTTGCATCAGATCAGACCTAATGTTGTGGTCCGGGTTGAAGGAAGGATAAATGTGGCACGCTAGGCAAAAAATTCCATATTGAAAATGACCCCTAGTAAAAGGCAATAATTTCTATGCTACCTCGTGGACCTATTTAGGTTTGCATTTAGTTGGGCATTTACATTAGAAATTCCAATTCCAATTCCAATTCCAATTCCAATCTCAATCTCAAGAATTCCAAACAAAGGCAACACTGCCCTACATATTCTTCTGTGAGTTAGCTAGCAAGCACAGAGAAATACAGCAAGAAAATACTAAGAAATCTTCATAATATACATTACCCAGAAAGTTACAGGCTGAAAAAATCTTGAACGGTAAAATAAACAACAATAACTACAAATAGTTACACCTCTGCTTCTCCACCAAATACGCATCTCATGACATTGGAGAGTCTAGAAAACCTTTTACGTTGGATCCAAAGAAGAGTCTAGTAATTTATTTATTTGTTCCATGCTGGAAACTGCACGTTCCATGCAAACACGTTGACATGATGATTCTGAAGTCACATGACAAGCCGCACTTGATGCATGCACGAACCACGTTTACCAAGCGTCCTAGAGTAAATGTTCAAATATGATAAACAACCTGAGCTCTTTGGAATCCATCATCAAATTTGTACAGATATTTTAAAATCAGGATGTCTTATTTGTCCAATTGACACAGTCGAGCTCGGCCAGGATTAAGTAGCGATTCTGACATTACCCAACCCTGACAAGAAGTATAACCATTAGCTGGTGATATGAAGCAAAGTATTCAATCATTCTCTTCTTCAGAAGCATTTTGCAGACCAAACGTATAAGCGGATGTAGAAGCAAATAACCTTCCATTAAATGTACCAAGGAACAGAATGGCAGTACTGAAATGCTTTGGCTAGTACTTTTGAGCAATTCAAAGTCATTACTTGTGGTAAACTGAATTCAAATAAGAGGAGAATTTTTTCCTTCTCTTGAAAATTTAAGAGCAAAACCAATGTTTATTTTAATTCAGCATCAGAGGAATTGTTTGAGAAGAACAAGATCACAGTCAAACAGAGCATAGAGCGCAATGCCAATATTCTTTTCAATGCAGCATCACTAAGAACTTTGGGCATCCAGCAGAAAGAAATGCTTGAAGAGTGAATAATTGAGTCAAGAACTAAAGACTGGATCACAGTCTACAGTTAAATGAATTCAAATGAACCTACATATAGCTTCATGACTAAGAAAACAAAGGCATCACAAAAGAAAAGAAAAAATGCAGCTAGCAGGACAAGTCAGAAAATGAAACTGAACCAATAGATACCAATTTACAGGTAGTTTTGTTAGAGAACTCCTAATGATATTAGTGGGAAGGTAGATAGGTCAATTTTCCCTCACCTGTTCCTTTGCTTTGTTCTTGAAAGGCACATATAAAGCTGACACCATCTTATAAGATTCTGCAATATGAGCTTGAAGATCAGATGATGTTGGCACTAACATCGAAAGATCCTGCTCTTGCTCTCTCCAAGAGGAATATTGGTTCTGATTGGAGGTGTGGATGATGTGGAGAAGCACATGAGCCTACAATAGAAGGTGAAGTAAGAAAGCAAGACTACTAATATTTAAGGACATAAAACCAGGAAGTTGGAGCTAACATGGAAAGCTGCTTTCAATATGTCATCAGACTTTGCTTGGTTCTTGAACAAGGCATATATATTGCCCTTGGAAGGATTATATGACACGATGTATTTCTCTCTCTGTATCAAGAAAAATCAGTATGCAACTCAACAGTTGTGCAAATGGTAACAAGCATGCAAGCAAATGGAGGCTCGTCACTAAAGTCACGTATATGCACAAAACAAAAGCATGTGCAACGAAATACCCCACCCAAAAAAAAAAAAAAAAGAGGTTTTCGGCTACAATCCAACAGTTAAATATGAAAGTCAAAACTGCATAACCAAACAGTCCTCTTCCTCTTGACAAGGAACTATACCTCAAAAATAGGCTCCACTGCCAGATATGAGTTAGGATCTTGAAATGCATCTTTAAATCTTGGCCCTACAAACAATTTCAATTTTTCCTTCAAGTTGAGCAAATGTGAATGTGATAAAACAGCCAGATGAAAAGGAAAAGAGTGCATCTTTGAATCTTTGCCCTACAAACAATTTCAATTTTTTCTTCAAGTTGTACAAAAGTGCATGTGATAAAACAGACAGATGAAAAGGAAAAGAGTGTGTGCACGCAAAAGAGAGAGCATTTTCTGCCAGTACCAAGAACAATAGGTCTGTGTTTTGACCATGGAAAACTGAATATATTTTCCATTGAATTTCCCTCTTGCAAAGTTGGAACACACCCTGAAAAATAAATATAGCACAAGTTATAACGTATCAGCGAAAACCATGTAACGAGCTAGTCTCTTTTCCCATCCCGGCTTCATTTGAGAACAAGGATATGAGAGCCCCCCTGCCTTGGTGAAGAATCCATCAGTCCATGGCATTGGTAAATTAGCTCTGATCTCCAATATTTAGCAATGCTATTTTCATATCGAATCTGATAGGTTATAGAAACGATGATAGCCATTTAGAAATGTCATAAAATTTATAATTAAATCAGTACTGAGAAGTGCAGGTTGGTGTTCAAGCTCTGAAATTTTCCTAAAATGAGATATTTGGAGCAGCAGACAGTAGACCCCACCCCCATTCTTCCCACACCCAAAACATGAAAAGAACCACTCCCAAACAGAAGAAGAAAAAAGAGAAAAAGAAAAGAAAAAAGAAACCACACACACAGAGAGTAACCAACCGAGGAGACTGTAACTCGAGCCTAACCTGATTTGAGGAAGGATTCTACTGCCACAGTGAACCTTGCACGATTTAGTGTATGCAGCACAACAGATTTTACCTGAAAAATGTGAATGCATCATTCACAAATTGTCTAAATAAGAACAAACTTAAAAGAAAAGAAAAGGGAAGGAAAATAAATTGGTGAGGGGTTGTTTTTAAGATGTATTCAGAATCTGACCTCTTGATAAGAGCTCATCAAATATCCGCATGAAAGCAGCGCAAATGTGGTTACTAAAGATGGGTTTCTTTTAGCGATCATGATACTCAGTCCAGTTCCAAGCTTCAAAAGAAAAATTATTAACAGTAATTAGTTCCAACCTAAAAACATAAAATACTTAAATATGCGTAAATGCAAGAATTATTTAACCCCATAGGGTTCAGGTTAAATTGCTAACTCATTATTTACAACAACCATTCAATTCCAAGGCAATAGTGAAATTTGTAATAGTTGTTTTTATTTTTACTTCATCCCCCTTTTCTACAGAATCCTTCTCTTCCTTTTGGCTCAGTTCTAGTTTCCCAATCATAAAAGAATACAACACATGCAGTTTCTTTCCCTAAACATATAGTTTCAGGCTTACTGTCACCTTCTATGATCGGCAACAATCGGCTACAAAATGATATCAATAATATTATAATAAAGGAATATACAAGTCGAGGTAACAGTAAATCACAAAAACACAGATCCAATGCGAATTATTATATAACAGTCTGATTTGAACAGCACTTACAACGATCAAAAACGTGAAAGAAAAAAAATGCTATTTCAAAGAAAAGGAATCGACCAAGAACGTAAAGAAGTCTCTGTTTGTTCTAACATATACATACACTTTCATCTATGTTTGGATGATCCCATTTTGATATGCACAAAGTTTTACACTTGAAAAAGATCAAAATCGTATGCACCTTTACATTTTTATCCTCCAAATCAATGGTCAGTAATAATTGTCAATCATATCATGCATTTTGAAGTACAACCCCTTTGGAAAGTAAATAACTATCTTAGTGGAGGAAGCCTTATTTGCGAACATTCCATAATAAACTTAGAGCGTCAGAACAAGGAAAGAATCAATATATTATAAAACAAAAAAGACAGGAATAAGCTCAGAAGGAACTGCATACATCATAAGCATCTGGTATTAGAGCGTAGAACAACTAGCTGGGATACTGAATCAAATGGAAGTACCACAAACTGTTACGGTGAAATACTTGAAATAAAAATATATCAAGATCTTTCATAGAAATTTGAGGTGGCATAGCATGATAATCGCTCAACTCGGAGCTCTAGTTCATTATTTATCCAAGTCGCCGTGTATTTTTAGTTATGATGCAGGGGATTTAGTAAATATGAAATCCTATTTTGGCTTAGCGTTTCGGATTAATTTTATTTGGAGTCTCTCCAGGAAAATTTTCCGCAATCAATCCATCAACCTAACATTACAGCCCTCTCTGTACTTGTGTAATCAGCAGTTTATAATATAACTGTTTTTTTAATGTCAACTGAATTGTGCAGTGGCATAAAAAAAAAAAATGGAGTTAAGACCAGAACAGCCAATAATATCTTGGAAATCTTGAACTGTTTTTTAGAAGCAACATGAGATATGATAGATTTATATATGATAAGCTTGGAATGCAGAGGCCCTTCCTTTTTAGTTTCACACCGTTTATCATATTCATTCTGCATTTACATTTGTCATTTCATATATATAAGGGGAAGTGCGCCATGTCTAAACATCCCCTCAACGAAATCCCCAATTACCACATAGTGTGGGTGGGTTCTCAGTGGCATTGAGAAAAGAGAAAGGACGGCCAACAAAATTCTTGAAATCATCCAGCAATGGATGGAGAAATCAAAAACCAGGCTTCTGATCCCATTTTCCGGATTCATCCCCATTTTTCCAAAAAAAAAAAAAAAAAAAAGGAGATAATAATAAAATAAATTCCACTTGATCGTTCATTCATATTGACATGAAATCCAAATTAAACTAAGGTGAGATACATGGAAATATAGAATTACAAAAATCAAGCAATTTCACAAATAAAATGTTCCGGAAAAAAAATTATAAGACTTGAGTTTAAAACATCATTTTGATTGGTAGTATCTGTTGTATCCTTGCCAGAAAAATAAGATTGTAAATATCAACATTTTGATCAAACAAACATACCAGGTCAGCAACATTTCCAACACATTCTCCCTTGGCGGTCACGTCTCCAATATTTTCTCCTTTAGCAAAGGCCTTGTATATTGGGGTTCGAGTTGAGGTTGATGTGACAGCGGCAACATTCTACAAGCACGTGAAGATGAATGTGTGAAGGTAGTTTCCATTGCAAGACATTGAGAAATGAGGAGGACAATATTAGACAAAACCTTCGCCACATTGGCAGCACAGGCTAATGGAAGAAATAGATGTGGAACAGCTGCAGTCGCTAACTCTACCCCAGCTCCCAACTCCATTAAAAGATCACCAGCAAACCGAAGCTGAGTGATGTGAGATCGTCAGAAGATAAGGAGTTATATTTGTAGTGTTTCCAGCAAGAAAAAATACATTAGCTAATTGTAAATCGTCCTTCCTCTTTGACACCCAAACCAAAGGAATAGAATACCTGCTTTAGATCGTAGTCAAATTTCTTTCCCTGCCGAGCGAAAAGCATCTTCCCAACCCGTCCAGCACCATCCTATAATTAGCCATATTACACAATCTAAAACAATTCCTTTAGGCCAATTTCAACCTATGCATATAAACTGGATGCAGAAAGAAACACTACACTGCGTTTTTAAATAAATCAGGGTAAAATGTTAAAGTAAAAAACCATCTTCTCCTAGTGATCAAAACTCAAAAGTAACTTAATCCCAAGTTTCATTTGGTTCAATGACAAAAGAATGTCATGATGAACATAAATAGCAGAGCTTCATGGATTCCACCTATCCACTTACGAAATATCGTTTGATACATTTCAACTTTCAACATTACCCTAAGCTCTTGAAGCTTCAATTTCTAAGTTGTAACAAGAATTACCTGAAAACAAAATGAACCGTGACAGAAGGTGTTCCTTGAAAAAAGTGTTTCAATGTTCTCTCTATACTTAACATCCAATGTCTAATCATTAAAAAAAAAAGTGAAGAAATCTTGAAAAACTGCAAGAACTGAACCATGTCGAAAAATGCAAATTAAGAAGTGGGACCCATGATTTCAGAGGTTCCAAGTTGAATAAGTATACAAGAAAAGTGATCACTATTGTTTGCAGGTGCATACTTTGAACAGAAACACCAAAAGGATTACAAGAATACTATGCGTACTATCAGAAAAGAGGTTGAAAGATCAACTGGAACTGCAGAAAAGTAACCACTATAGTTTATGGGTGCTTACTTTGATCACACAAAAATGTGTACATTTATTTCTAAAGAGAAGAGGTTGAACGATCAGATAAGCATTCAAGGAGATAAAGTGATACCACATGTTAGAAAACCATCTTGAGAAATCAATCTTGGAACCTCTTTTTTTCCCTCACCTCACCACTTCTCCTCTTTCAGTCCACAGTTTAACCGAAACACACATGCAAGCATGCACCCAGCAAAGCAAATTGCATATATCCATGTAGCAACCAATGCAAAAATGTTTGTCAAGCTTTATAAAATGAAGTACTTCCCCAGTTCTCGTGGTTACCTTAAGAATCCAATTTATAGCCACAGCACCTGGTGCAGACTGATTTCTTGATACTCCTACCGAATTTAGGAGTGTTTGTGTTGTGAAAACACCCATCGCTCCACCAAAAAAGTGCTACAGATGAAAGTAACAGTGACCGTCAATATTCTATGGCAACCACGAAACAACTAAAATATGTAAATCTCAACGAAATAGATTGTGCTAAATGATGAATTGACACCATAAATAGTTAAATACCTTCAATGCTCTCCAAGTCATGTATGGTACATAAGCAGGTGTAACACTGTCAGGAAAACCTTCCGGGACTACGTAGGACCTTACAAATGTCATCATCCCCTGCAGAATTATCGTGGTAAGTATTAATCCCTTAGTACAAGAGCTATACAAGTTCTCTCATAAAAAAATCGGAAATGGAATATAAAACATTTGAAAAATGATATTAGTTATTATCTGCTCTTTTTGTTGGATAAAATACCAAAGCAGTCCACATTGTAAGCAACTGATGAATCAAGAAACTTCACGAACAACATTTTAGTTCATAAAATTGGAAGTTATCATTTCCCGGAAGAAATAAATGCAATTTCATATTTAAAATAATAGACGTCCAAAGATTAAACTAAGTAAATAACCGCCAAAAAAAATGTAAAGTCATTCTCGCTCAAATTTTTTTTTTTTTAATATCAACGTTTATGTTTGTATACAAAGAGACAGTTGGAAACAAAAAAGAACACAATAAGAGAAAAAGGAAATACTGACATCAAAAGGGACCTGTGGATCCTGCAGGCTAACAGCACGAATAGAATTCTTCTTAAATTTCTTGGAACCGTTCGTTTTAACACTTTTATTATCAGCAAAATATTTCCACCGCTGGCCATCGATCTCCTCACAGCAGATCAACCTATAGCTCGAATCAACAAACTGGTCCTCGACAAGTCCGCCAAAGTTGGAATCCCGAATCAATGGCCGCTCAGGCACGGCCGCTGGTGGAGGTGCCGATGCGAGGTTGGCGCTGATGCGTAGCGTCTCACGGACAAGCAAACGCGTATCAGACGAGGTTACGGTTTGAGAAGCGGAATTGGACGGATGCTTAAGTCTCATTCTGTAATCAGAAGTATTCACAGCAGAGAATTTGGGAAACTGAGAATGAAAATTGGTTGCATATAATTATGCTTGTATATAGAGAGAACGGCCTAGTGGCGACGAGAGAGAGAATGAAATAGAAAATTAGAAATCGTGACCGAAGAGAGTTTTTGTTTGTTATTCGCTTTGCTCTTCTTCTCTCTAAAGAGGGAAAGACAAAGAGGGAGCCACAGGTGTTGGAGGTGTATGTGCAAGGGGAAGAGGACGGTGATCATAGAGTCACACGTGGGGCATACCCAGAAAATTTTCATTAAAACGAGTATACTTGGAATTCACACCTCCATGTTCCATGTCTTAAACTTGAATATTGAGGGCACGTTTGATTTGGATTAAAATCATTTAGTTTATTTTTCATTTGAGTTAAAGTCAAATAATTAATATTAAATACATCGTTCACGAATTTTACAAATTTTTAACTACACATTTCAAAAACTTTTATCACAATCTACTAAAAAAATATAATGATCCGTTTAATTATAAAAATGAAATTTGGATAAAAAGAAAACGAATTTCGGAGAATGAATTGACCAAAAATTATTTTATTGGGAATTCTCATTTAAATTTGTTTGATTGGTATAATTCTTACCTAAAAAATATTGAAATTTTGGATCTTTTAATGTTCTTTTGGCTTTATTTTTCATGAAAATTGTCAATTAAAAGGATAAAATTTATTGCAGTTGGAGACAGAATTTATTTCAATTACCAAAAAAAAGAAACTTGGAAAAACAAAAACCATTAAACCTATAGGAAAACATTTTCCTCAAAAAATTGGGAAAATGTGGAAAATTGGGTGTTGCCAAGAAAACCAATGATCAAGAAAATTTGGCCAATCAAACATGCTAAAAGGTGAAAAATGGAATTTAATTTCCTACTTCCATGAAAAAATTGTGGAATCAAACAAGGCCTAATTTTAATCCCACCAAACATTCACTGAATTGTCATGATTTCAATGGTTCAAAATCAATGTGTCATGATTTAGAAGGTCAATTCTATATAGGATCGTCTCATTGAAATTTTTATTGTTGACACCAAATAAATTATGATACGAACATACGAGAGTTAATGATGTACAAAAAATAAAGTTATTTATCTAGATTTGTGAATTGTGATGTCATTTTTATATGTTATTGAATGAATGATAAATCTATTAACATGGGTCTCTTTTATTTTTAAAAATGATAAGTGGATAACTGAGCTCGAAATTAAAAATTGTTAGATTTGGTTTTTAGCGAAATTAAATAGGACGTAGCCTATGTTTGACAAATATTAAAATAATTATTTTTTTCTCCAATTCATTTCTAATCATACATTCTCACAATAAAAATTATGTTTGAACCTCATTTTCTTTCGACAATGTATTTTTTGGAATAATAGATGATAATAAATAAGTAGCTAAAAAATAAGTAAAAGTTTTGGGTTAGCATGTAATATTATTTTATTGAATGTGTGATTAAAACGAAGAGAAAATATTTTAAAAATAATAGGAATCAAATTAGCACGGAATATTTTACACATAAATAGAAAAAAAAATTCTTATTTTTTAATCACACGATCTCCAAAAAATTATTAATTCAAAACTTATGTTTCTTAAAATATATATATTTTTTCAATGATGGTCAAACGGGGCTAATCCTAATTGAAATCAACTTATTCAAATTGGTAACAACTTTATTGGCACTATAAGTAGTTGGTAGTTGACCCAACTCTAGAATGCAAATTTGTCTCTCCTACTTCTCAGGTTTCAATTCTTCTTGTCTTTAACAAGATATTCACATTTCTTTCTTTCTTCTTTGGCAGACGAAATCATTACATTATAACACGCAAGTCGACATTAGCAAATGTACATTCCAAACGAGTCATTTTCCTTTTCTCAATTTTATTTATCATCTTAACGTGTTTTATCTGCATTTAGAGGACATTCCTTACACTGTAATAACTCAGAAAATATGAAATATATATCAAATATAATGTTCAAGATAGATTGTGTGATTAAAAAACTCAATCGGACGACTCTATTCATACGGGGAGCATGGTTGAAGAGCAATTAAGAATCTCGCTTTACCTAATTATTCAACTAATAATCTGGTACTATTTATATATTATTTCACCAAAGGATGATTCAAACATAAAGGATTATGCCATTTGTATACCAATTTTTGTCACTGTTATTGACACTCGTCTATGTGTCAAAAATCTAACCATTGTTTGGAAAAATTGTTGTCAAAATCAATGTATAGAATTTTGCCAACTGACATGAACATCAAATTAGGTGTAAAGCTAAGTGGACGAGTAGCATGATTCAAACATAAAGAATTATGCCATTTGCACCCCAAATTTTGCCACCTTTGTCGACACCTGCCAATGCGTCAAAAATCTGGTCATTGTTTGAAAATAGAGTTGTCAAAATCAATGTATATAATTTTGCCAACTCACATGGATGTTGAATTAGGTATACATGTAGCATGATTCAAATAAAAAAAGTATGATATAAAGACATCCTAACTTGGAATAGTTATATGTTATTGTATGCCAAACATACTCTTACAAGTTCAATATTCGAAAATAATCAATATTTTTTATTTACTTAGAGTTTGTTTGATATAAGATTTTGTGAAAAGAATTTTTTTTAATGCGTGATTGAAAAACTAAGAAAATTTTCGAGTCTCGTACAAAGTTATGCTATTAAAGGTTGGTTTTAGATGTTTCCACATTCGGGGATGACAACTCCATCACAAGAGAGGGCCTGCGTGTAATTAAATAATCGCGAGCCCTCTCTCTTGTGAGGCAGTTATTATCCGAGGTGTCAATCCCGAATATACACACGGCAAAACTTTTAAGAGAATGTATAATTGGAAATAAATTTAAAGACAAATGAATTTTAAGAAACTCTATCAAACAGGTGCTAAAAAAATCCCCAATGCAGGAGGTCGCTTTAACTGTTCTCCTTCCTGTCGCTAAAAGATAATTTTCGTACAGTAAAGAGCAAACAGATGAAGATAACAATAAATTCGATAAAACCTGTTTAAGACCTATATATATATATATATATATATATTCACCAAATTAATTAATTTGACACACACAACCCCCGCACCCCAACCCAAATTAACTAATAATATAGTGCACAATCATTTTCAATACATAGTATTTCTCCTCGAAATAATCTTAGTGCTGGCTAGATCTTGGACACACACCATAGTTTGGACATGCTAAGTTGAGGTGGTAGTTGACAGTTGGATTTATTAAAATGAAGAAAACGAGGTGTCAAATTGTCAATCATACGATGTTTATTGTAATTGTATAAAGCATTAAATTATGGCCGTGTAATTAGCTGGGACAGGGAGCGTTTGGCCAGGCTTAAAAATTTTATTTTATATTTTTGTTATAAAATGAGAGGAAAAGATAATAGAGAAAACTCAATAAACCTTTTGTGTGTATTATTGAAAACCAAAACCCTATATTTATATAAGTAAGAATCAGGAATACAATGGTAATAATTTTTAGGGTTACAGGGTACAATGTCATTCACCAATAAACTTTAATGGACTTTCCATTTACAACACTCACCCTTGAATGATGTATTACAAAATAGTTGCCTCGTTAAAATCTTGTTTGATAAAAATTTAATGGGAAAAAAAATCAAACGAAGGAAAAAGAGTACAGTTATTTTGGAGTATTAAAATTAAATGCTACTTCATTAAAACCTTGTTAGGAAAACCCAATGGGACAAAACCTAAGCGAAGGAAAAAGAGTACAGCTACTCCCCCTGATGTTGATATTGAAAATCTTTGAGTCGACGCATTCCAATCTCATGAACTAATTTCTTGAATGGAGATGTTGGCAGCGCTTTTGTGAATAGATCAACGACATTGTCACTTAAGTGAATTTGTTGAATATCAATGTCATCATTCTTCTGAAATTCATGTGTATGAAAGAATTTTGGAGAAATATGTTTCGTCCTGTCGCTTTTGATATAGCCTCCCTTGAGTTGTGCGATACAAGCTGCATTATCTTCAAATAAAATTGTTGGATTATCTTTTGTTGAAGTCAATCCACATGATAATTGGATATGATGGGTCATATTCCTCAACCATACACATTC